AGGGACAATCCGAGGGCCGAGGGACTCCATCCACATCTGCCACTCCACCGAGACACGCTGCAACAACAGCAAGCCGGAGAAACCAGCCCAACCGGCAAGGTAGATGATATTTACCAAAGTTAGGATAACTTATGYTCGATGCTTGTATACACGCCATAGGACGCTTGTGTGCTGTTGTTTTTCGAAAATGATGTCCGTCATTTGCTTCTTTGATCTTCCGTTTATGTAGCATACAGAGTAACAGCAACACTAAAGCTGAGGTAAATTTGGTCAAAAACAGACCTGCAGATGCCTGTAAAGCCAAATTGGATGTATTTTCCTGCAGCGATACTGCACAGCTACATACATCTGCCGCCACTGCCGCCATCTTGACTCTATTTGTGTGCATGTGGGATTCCTGGGTATAAAAGTAACCACAAGGATTAAATGTTTAAAAGTGGAAGCTTTTGCATTACCAAACACAATTTCTTTTACTGTTCACTTTCAAACTTTAAGACTTGAAAAGTTTTATTTATTTAATCAAAAACAGAACTTTTAAATATTGTTTCTAGGAGTATAAATTTAAAATACATTGTGTAATTTTGTGCACATAATGAGTGTAAAACAAAGTGAAGACAAAAAGCTACTCATGACGTTAAAAACAAATTTGCGACATTGCAGCAATAAAGCATAACTGTCGATTATTGATTTTGCATTATGTTCATCCAAACATCAATTTACTCCAGTTTCTTTTTATAGAAACTTGAGGGTTCAGTATTTTAGCACTTCATAGTTTTTAAAATTTGGATTAAGGTAATTTTGGTCTCAGGTCTCAGCCCTTTTTAATACCGTAATTATTTCCAGCTTTTTTATTAAAATTTATTTGTTTTAGTTTGGTTGCACACCTGAATAATAACACATTGCAGTTCATTCCTTAAGATTGTTGTACAGTTTGTCAAACAACAAATGAGCATACAACATGCTGCTGTGCATTTACTTTTCTAAATCTCTATAGAGTACCTCACGTCTGTCCACAATTAGATTGTTATTAGATATGATCAAGTGTCAGGTTGTGAGCAATTGAGACAATTCGCCATCTCTCGGCATCCATTTGTTCAATCTTTATTCACTGGCACACAAGGATGAATGTGTTTACACTGCAAACAGGAAGAAAACCAAATGACAAAGGTGGTTCTCCTGCAACCTGGCATTCCTCACATTTGGCAGCTCAAATCTGAAAGTGGACTTTGCCTTTGAAAAAGTCAGTCTGTCCCCTTCAGCAGTTTATTGTGAAATAATCATATCTCCTGATCATCAAGTGGGAGCAATGCTGATGGCACAGAGTGAGCAAGAACTGCAGGCTTTTAAGGCATGCAAAGGTTGTACTATACCAAAGTACCATGTTTAATTAGTTTCTGAAAATAAAAGCTAAATCTACAAAAGAAAAAAAAACACATTATTTCTAATTTGGTAGTTTGATGGATTCAAACAATTCAAAATCTGTTTTATTTTTATTTTTACTCTAAGCCTAACTATTCAGTTTCATTAGATTGATATGAAATTGAGTTTCATTTGAAATGATCTTTTTTTACAAAACTGATAAGGATAGTGTAGAGTAATACACAATGATGTTAGATCAATTTGTTATGCAATTATGTGTTTAAGGTTTTAAATTACTATTGGATTGAGCAGTGTACAAAGTAAAAAAGATTTTTGCTATTGTATTGTAACCAAATATATCAAATTATTTAATAAACAAGTTGAAATTTCCAGTTTAAATACATTTTAGACCAGCAGCTTTTCTTTTAAAATGATCTGGATATAAAAATATCCACTAAGAAATATATTTTTTGTGTGGTCATGAGTTACCAAGGTCAATAGGCTTTCTGCATGTGTGAGTTTGCTTATATGTAAAGCTCTGTGGTTTGCAGAGTCCTGTTGGTTAGCTTGTCATCATGAACAAAATAGATGGAATTCATTACATTCTTTCAGTAAACACTGCTGCTTTTCACAAACGTTGTCTTGAGCACTTGCACAAGGTTTGCATAATTGTTCAAAAACTACAGAGTGCTGAATGGCCCTCAGTGGCATAAGTTAATTCTTTCTGTTCTGTTTTTATTCACAGTGTAGTAAAGCATTAATATCCAAAAAAAAAATACATTAATTTTAATGGGAAGCCTTCTCTTATTTGGCCCTTAGTAACCTCAGTGTGTCATTGTGCCCGTTGTAAATCCATCCAAGTTGTCAGTCAGAACTTTGGTTTTTGGGCTTGTGCAAACACACGTGGGTCAGTGCATGTGGCTAATAAAAATAATGATACACAGCTAAAAAACAAAATCAATAAGCAGTTTGTTACTGAATTATAGTTAGATGTGGGTGTTATTCTGTGATGTGTTGGTCTTAATATTTTTCAACATTTATAGAAATAATTAGGCATTATGGTATTTATCTGGTTCTTTTAGATAAATAACTTTTGCTATTTGATATTTTATATTGTATGTAAATGTTTTGGACAGTGGCCTGAGCTGACCTTTGTTGTCAATTGACAGTATATACTGTAAATACACTGAATGGTATTGAATTCATGATGTGTGGGCAAAAACATAAATATTTGTTAAACCAAGTCAAACATTTTGTGTACAATATTTGACTCCTATGTGTTTTGAGATGCACATTTTAGTTGCAATGTTAATTAATTATGACTATTAGTATTATTTATTTAGTTTTTTCTTCAATTTAGATCTAAAGGTCATTGATTGAATCTCAATAATTCAATGTGAGAATTCTACATAGAATGCATGTATTTTCTAATTAACCTTTTTTCCCGTTTACTTCAATTAAATGTCAAAGTATTTCTCCTATCATTTGTTGTTCATCTTATTGTTTAGTTTTAATTATGCAAGTAAGTCCCACTCATTTTTGATTGACAAAAACTAATATTTTAAACATGCGGTTCACAGTGTAGCGTCCTGCAGAATCAGCTCGCTGTTTGTCATCGTGCCAGTGAGCCTTACTTCAATCGTAGGAGTCAGGCTGGGTGGGGGCTGGAGACTGTAGGAAGATGGATGGTGTATGAGACTGCCAGAGAGGCTTAGGGAGAGGCTGAGTGAAAGAGAAAATAGGAGGCTGAAGAGATTGTGCGAGACGGAGCGAGGAAGAGGAGACGGTGGGGGAGGGGAGGGCCGCCTGTTTCCATGGCAACATCAGCCCATGGTGTTTGATTTATTTATTTATCTTTTCATTCCAGCCTGATGGTCTGGAAGATTTTATTTTCTTCACATCGATCTCAATAAGCCACCAAAGTAATCGTCAAAATGAAGATTGTGCTTTCTTTCAGCTCCAGACGGACTCAGCTCAGACAAGAACTTATTCAAATGCTTTTCTTCCTCCTTTCGCAGAAAATCTCACAGCACTGAGTTCAATTTTTCTCTTGCTATATCAGTGCTCTAAAACCACCAAAGATGTTGATTTCATTTTTGTCAGGTTTTACATACACTCAACAAAATTAAGTTTCCTGGGCGGAGTTCAACGCTGTGCTCAAAGCATGAGCACTAATTTTTGTGAAATTCATGATGGACAATTTGCGCTTAATTTTTAAGGAATTTCATAATCTAAACAAATCACTGTCTGATTAAAATAACATCAAATTATCGTACTTAACATGACTAAAAGTGATGAAGCTGGTTGTTTTGGTCATGATGCTCTTAAACGTGCTTTTTATCTTCCTTTGTTTCTCCTGATAAAATTATCGCTGAAACACGACTGTGCAGGAGATTAACCTTGGTTGGTAACATATTTCTGTTTTGTTTACCAAATAAACTGATATTACAGCCTCACATTTCCACCATGATAAAGCAATGCAACTTTAATCACAGCTTCACAATAATGCACCATTTTTCAAATAAAATCTTCTTATTTTGTTTTAATTTTCAAAATGCTGGTTTGTTCTTTCTGACCTGTATTGTTTAAAAGATAAGAAGTTAATGACAACTTTTTCTTCATCAGCCTTCCCCTGGTTTGGTATGGACATTGGTGGGACTTTGGTCAAGTTGGTGTACTTTGAGCCAGTTGATATCACTGCTGAAGAAGAACAAGAAGAAGTTGAAAACCTCAAGTCTATCCGCCGCTACCTCACCTCAAACGTGGCCTACGGTATTTATACTGAACACAGTCATGCCTACTATTTTTTGTATCTTGATGTGAAAATTCAGATAAAGAAAGATGTTTTCCTTTCTCTCAGGTAAAACAGGTGTTCGTGATGTCCACCTGGAGCTGAGGAACCTGACCATGTGTGGCAGGACGGGAAACCTGCACTTTATCCGCTTCCCTACGCAGGCCATGCCTCGTTTCATTCAGATGGGAAGAGACAAGAACTTCTCCAGCCTGCACACAATGCTCTGCGCCACGGGAGGCGGAGCATATAAGTTTGAGAATGACTTTAGAACGGTGAGCGAATGCCTGCAGTTTAACAGAAATGTAATCGTGTTGTTGAGATCGTCTGGATCAGAAGTTGCTTTTAGCAACGCTTCAGTGTTTCCTCAATGTTTAGAAATGATAATAACCATTAGCCATGGTAATGCTGAAAATGATAAATATTTGTTGCTCCAGGTATTGATTGCTGTTGGTTTGAGATATATGTTTTTTATTAAGTGCATGTTTTCATTTTCAGATTATTTCTATAAGCTGTCTGTCTCTATGCTACCAAACAAACTAGTTTCAAAAGGGGATCAAAAAAGTATATATTTTTTTCCATTTTTGCTTTATTCGGTGCTCTTAACCTTGAGTTCAGTGACCCTGTCTGCAGTGCAGGAGGATCAGTCACTGACCCAAAAAATGTGTTTGACAAACATCTGTTCTCATGGAATGTTTCAAGCCTTTTTTTCTCTCGACATTATCATCAGGAGTTTGTTGTGAAATGTTTGTGGAATGTTGTGTTAAAGTGATTTAATATGCATTTCAAATAGATTAAAATATTTTATGTAAATTATTGTTACAATGAAGAATAAAAAGCTGGTATTGTTAAAATAGTGCATTGGTAAATTTCACTGGTATAATGCTTTTATTTTGACGAGGCACTAAGGGGAAGTAAAAATCATTGTTCAGCTGTGATCACTTAGAAATGTTTGTAGTCTTGTGTGGTGCATTGGCAGCAAATTCTTCACAGTAAAATGTAAAAAGAAGAACATTTAAACCTTGTTATGTCGTCTCAGTGTTTTAATCAGTGTTTGTTACAGATGGCCGACCTGGACCTGCTGAAACTGGACGAGCTGGATAGCCTCATCCACGGCCTGCTGTTTCTCGACCGGGTGGGATTCAACGGACACCCTGAGTGCTACTATTTTCAAAACCCATCAGATACCCACAGCTGTGTGAAGAAACCCTGCAATCTGGAAAACCCCTTTCCAATGCTGCTGGTCAACATCGGTTCTGGGGTTTCCATACTAGCCGTGTACTCGGAGAACAACTACAAACGGGTAACTGGGACAAGGTGAGGAGGACTTAGGTGCACTGATAATCAGAAAGGAAATGATCTCTTTTAAGTTTGATGAATGAATGTATTTATTTTCATCGTTCATTTAACTTTTCCTTGGTTTTTGGAGGGGGAGCATCTAAATTCATCCAAAACCAAAAAATCCAAGTGTTTTTATCTATGTTTGTAAATAACTTAGATGTTTATATGGATCTTGATTATTTTAACCATATTATTATAAAGGGAAACATGTATCTACCATCTATGAATAAAATAATATTCAAATACTTTAAAAATCATTCATTTGGAAGTAAAAATTTGGGGAAAATGTTTCACCACCACAAACAAGACAATGACGAAGTGGCAAAACTCATGGCAAATGTTCACTCGTATGTTTGCTTTTTAAACATAAACCGGTTTTTCCTACCCTCTGATCCAGACGGAACTGGAATCCTCCATCCGTTCAGGTTACTAAATACTAACAGTTATAGGCATCCATAAACACACAATAGTGTGACTGTACTAATAGTGTATCATTTTCTGTGAGGAGGAACAGAATAAAGCATGTGTTTATATCCAGCAAATAGTACTCTAATAAAACAATTCCATTTATTGCGTTGTCAGATTAAAATGAACCCCGTATCAATGTTTGGTGCAGGCTAATAGATCCTGTTAAAGTGGGGGAGGAGCAGGATTTCCAGATACTGTATTCACAGTTTTACAGGATTATGTTGGTCTGTCTAATCCATTAAGATTAAAATTTAGTGACTACATTTCAAAGATAATAGTCCTTTCAAAATGCCCATTTTGAACTTCAGTAGACTTAATAGATATATCAGACTTGTTACAATGCAACCAAATCAATCATTATGTGTTCCTAAGTGCTTACATAACAGTGGAACAAGCTGTAATAAGATAACAAACTGTAAAAGCCGGCGAGAAAACAATCATTGCCTCTTAGATTTCATGTTAGAATGTTTCAACACATTAAACAACTTTACAGTATGTTCAACCTTCCTGTTATCAGTCATGGTTTGGTTCAGCTGATAACTAATCCAGCCAACCGGACTTACGATACTCAGACTATGTGTTATAACAAACTGCTGCTCATTTGTTACACACTTTGTACAAAGAAAAACAAATTTGGCTCCTAAAGCACATTTTGTCTTTTTCTCATCATTTTAAACCTCAAAAGAACTATTTAAGATAAGATAATCTTTATTGTCATTGCACAGTCATGCTTCGTACAACGAACTTGTGGTGTCATCCCACTACGGTGCCCATACTAGAATACAAAGCAAAGAAGATAATATAAATATGATAAAAGGTTAAAGTGACTGACACGTTAAAGATAAAAATGAAATAAAATAAAATAAAAAAATAAAACTATAATAGTACAGTCTAGGGACTGTGTGCATTCAGAAGGGCTATTACCCTGCTGCAAAAGCTGTTCCTGAGTCTTGGTCAGTGATTTCAACACCCTGAATCTCCTGCCGGTGGGCAGCACCTCAAACACCCGGTGGGTATGTTTTGTCTTTTAGTTTGTCTTTAGTTGCGTGCCCTTTTGAGACAGCAGGTTTTGTAGAGGTGTTCCAGGGATGGGAGTGTGTTGCCAATGATTTTCTGGGCGATGTTAACAACCTTTTGTAAGGCCTTTTTGTGTGCCATGGTGCAGCTTGAAAACCACACAGAGYTGCAATAAGTGAGCACACTCTCAATAGAGCAGTGATAAAAGACAGTCAGCAGCTCCTTCCTTAGTTTCATTCTCCTAAGGATCCTTAAAAAATGGAGACGTTGCTGAGTCTTCTACACTACTGTTGTAGTGTTAGAGCTCCACCGGAGATCTTCGTCCACTTGCACGCCTGGAAACTTGAAGTTGGGCACCCTCTCCACACACTCTCTCCCCTGATGTGAAGTGGCTGCAGGTCAGACTCCCTCCTCCTGAAGTCAATGATCATCTCTTTCATCTTAGAAGTGTTGAGGACCAAGTTGTTGTCTGTACACCATCTCCCACCAGCCTCTGAACCTCATGCCCGTGTGCTGTCTCGTCACCAGCTGTTCCGAGTCCCACTACGGTGGTGTCATCGGCGAATTTGATGATAGTGTTGTCTGGGTGTAGGCTGACACAGTCGTGTGTGTACAGGGTGTACAACAGAGGAGTCAGCACACACCCCTGTGGAGAGCCGATGTTAAGGCTGATGGCTGAGGAGAGATGGGGGCCTACTCTGACTCTCTGTACTCTGTCAGAGGGAAAGTTTCTGATCCAGCAGCAGGTGGTGTATGGAAGTCCAATATCCATTAGTTTAGCTGTCAGTCTGTCTGGGAGTATAGTATTAAAGGCCGAGCTAAAGTCAATGAAGAGCAGCCTGGTGTAGTGTCCCTGTTGTTCCAGATGTGAAATGGTGCTGTGGAGCGCTGTGTTGATGGCATCATCTGTTGATCTGTTGGATCTGTATGCAAATCGAAGTGGGTCTGATGTAGGTGGAAGGTAGGACAGGATGTGACGTTGAACCAGTTTCTCAAAACACTTCATTATTACAGGTGTCAGAGCAACTGGTCGGTAGTCATTCAGGCTGCAGGTGGTGGTCTTTTTGGGCAGCGGCACTATTGTGGCTGACTTCAGGCAAGGTGGGGCGAGGGACTGGGACAATGGTTTGTTAAAAATTGTGGTGAAGACCCCTGCCAGCTGATCTGCACACTCCCTGAGGGCCCTCCCAGTCACTCCATCTGGTCCTGCAGCCTTCCTATGGTTCACTGCCCTCAGTGTGCTCCTCACCTCATGCTCCTGCACAGTGAGAGTGAAGATGGGGCTGCTACAGTCAGGCATGTCAGCTTCTGCTGCCTTGGGTCCTTCCACCTTGAAACGAGCAAAGAAGAGGTTCAGCTCCTCTGCAAGCTTGGCGTCGCCTTCAGCCATTGAGGTGTTCCCCACCTCGTAATGTGTTAGGTGCTGGACCCCCTGCCACAACTGCCGTGTGTTGTTGTCTGTGAAATGGTCCTCAATCTTCCTCTTGTAAGCTGTTTTGGCCTCTTTGATTCCTTTTTTAAGGTTGGCTCTGGCTGAGCTGCACTGCGCTCCATCATCCTGTCTGAAAGCGATGTCTCGACTCCTCAGAAGGGCCCGGACCTCTTTTGTCATCCAGGGTTTCTGGTTGGAGTACACCTGGAAATGTATTTCAATAGTAATGCTGTCAACACAGAAATTGACTTAAGAGAGCACTGCTGTGGTGTGCTTCTCCAAGTTCTGATCTTCAAATACACTCCAGTCTGTGTTTTCAAAACAGTCCTGCAGCTGGTGTGATGCACCCTCTGGCCATATTTTTACAGTCTTTGAGGTTGGAGGGGCTCTCCTCCTGACTTGCAAAAGTATTCATACCCCTTGAACTTTTCCATATTTTGTCACATTACAACCACAAACATAAATATATTTCACTGGAATTTAATGTGAAAGACCAACACAAAGTGGTATAC